AGGCGGTATGTTATTCCCTGGATACCAAATTGGGTAGCCCTTTCCATAGCTTTTTCATAAATCCAATTAATATGCTGAGGGTCATCACCATCAATTGGTATATCCCACGGATTCTCCTTGGACCACTGTATAACCTTCACATATTCAATACAGTGTTCTGGTAGTCGAGGGGTGTTGGCAATGGTACAGAGCGGGAATGTCACTTGAGGTGGGAAGAGATCCAAAGTGCACTCTATGCAGGCTGTGATACCTGGCAAGATAACACGAACATTGCCCTTGAATCCTTCTGTTCCTCCATCTACCATTGGGATGAGGGTAGACTGATCCAAGGTCCCATCTTGGTATGACAGCAGTGATATTAACATACCATTGATCCAGCGACGTGCCACTATTGAATCAAGACCACAAACCACAATATGGAAACTGCTATAAAAGTTCTCATCAAAATCCTGGATCTTGCAAAAATGTGGTGTGACATGACAACCTGGAATTCTGGTGGTTATGAATTTGGCTGCAACTTCGGCTTTAGATTGCCCAATATCTCTTCTTCTAAATAGGAATTGCCTATTGAGGTTAGATAACTCAACTGTGTCCATGTCAATAACATGGATATCTTTAAATCCCATAAGCGCCAAATCTTTCAGAAGCTCACAACCTAGCCCACCGGCACCAATAACTAAAACCTTGCAAGATCCCATCAGAAAACTCAGATTTTCTGTAGACGGTTCGAAGTCAGGATGGCAGAAAGGGCCGGATCTTTCCAACACTTTACGAAGGTGACACCATCTGTGTTGTAAAGTTTCTTGCACGTCTCCTGGACCCATCTTTTCCATGTCTTTCTTAGGGCTTTGGGGTGTAACGTTTAAACCCCGTCTGAAATTATTGAAACTGCAATATTGATTACTTTCTCATTTGTCAAACTTCTTGCCCACCGGCATACACTACAAATATCATCACAGATAATACCTGGATATCATATAAATATCATAGATTACACCAATGGAAGATATAATACAGAAGACAGTAAGTACCACAGGTAAACCAGCATGCGTACGTGCTGCTTCCATCGGTATGCTTCGAAGTGATTGAATGAAATGAACATCGGAAGTTGAAAGCATGGCGGATGACGAGGCTAATGGGGATATTGGTGGTGATTCGGATGAAGTTCAACAAGAGAAGTCACAGAAAAAGATTGCTAAATATGACAGTGGAGCAGCAGATCTTGAAAAGGTTACGGACTATGCGGAAGAGAAAGAAATATTTACTGCTGATCTTTCAGGAGTAAGTTTCACGTGTTTCCATACTTATCGCCTGACTTCATAATCATGGTCTTGTATTTGCAGTTTATAGTAATGTTCAGTATTTTTAATGCTGTTGTGAAAATATTCACGTGTACCTTTCCGCAAAATTTTGATGTAATTTTCTGCCTTTAATGTATTTATGTAGTTTTCATGCTGAAGGGCAATTTAAAATTAACGAATTTCTTGTATACCGTATGATTCAGTAGAAGCTTTTGCAACATAATGTAATATACCATTTAACTTTTGCTGTTGTTTCTTCTTAGGCAATGACAATCATTGGTGACAGACGTAATAAAGAAGTGGCGGAAAAAATGGCAAAGGAACGAGAACTCTTAAAAGTGTCTATCAAGAAAGAGGATGTTGATTTGATTGTAAGTTACTTGTACTTTATTGTACTACTAGACTTCAATTTCACATAACATTTTTAAGAATCTCTTCCGTTATCTATCATACAACTTCAGTTAGATTGCTTGAAAAGCTGCACCACATATGAAGCTGTTTTCTCTAAATCTTCTTCTGGCCAGTTGGGCATTAGATCTGCAACCATTTAGCCTTTTTATTGAACCTTCACATACATTACTTATATTACTTTTCTACCCCTTATGTTTTATGAGCAACAGAAGAAACCTTTTCCTGAATCAAAGTTTTTTATGCAACACTCGAAAAAGATTGTAGTCTGGTCTGTTAACAATTTGTGACAGCAGATATGGATGCTAATTTCATCTAATTATGAAATTCCTGAATAGTTTGTTTAATTCTTTAGCACAAAGATGTTATCTTATGAAAGAGTTATTTTGCTGTATAAAGCAGTTTATATGACCAAGTTTAAATTCTTTATTCCACATTTGTTCTGTTCTCCAGACCATTTCCTTGCCTTCATTTCAAGCATTTTATGCAGGGCTACACATTCATTGTTTCTTAATTTAGTAAGGTCAGTAAAACACTCTGAGGCATAAATCACTTCCCACCAAACATACTGTCCCTCTTGTAGTGTTGAAGTCAGTCTTTGAAATGCTGCTATCTACCTACGAGTCCACACAGCTTTAGAATCCAGAAGACCAACATTGTCATCATCATCGTTATGGTCAGATGGAAAATTTAGACATTTTTTCAGTACTTGTATATATTCATTTAGTATCTTGTTTCTTCTAGATGCGAGAAATGGAAATTTCAAGAAACTTGGCAGAGCGCACATTACGAGAGCATCATGGGAATATTGTAGAAGCACTAGTGTCACTCACAGACTGATTATCAACTGGATATTGTGATTTTTGACATAAGTATAACTGCTGCATAATGCTAGTAGTAAGAAATAGAGATATTTGGTGCTTACTACAACCATTCCGTTGACAATTCAGAAGCATTATCGTTGTAACTAGAGATGTCTCGTGTGTTTCATAAGTGAGGACTACATTGTACAAACTGTGAAAATAATACAAACTGATATACTTAATCCTTCTCCAATCATCCTTGTCCTCTCTTCTATTGTAAATTATTATGCTTAAATTTCATTATGAACAGGAATCATCCTGAAATGTAACATCCCAATGTGTTGCTTACGTTTGGTGTTTCTTGATTACATCAGTCTTTTTTACATATAAAAATTGCTGTGGTTTCTCGAGTGCTTGCATGTTGCCAAAGTACTTGTTTTGACCAGATGTGATCATTATCAGGTTTGTGTGTAGTACAGTATCTGTTGTACCTGTTCATTGCAGACAAGGCTCATCTTTCATCCAGTGTTTTATCACAAATATTAAATTATATCACATACAATGCACTAAAATATTTTGTTAAACTCTTGAAAATGACAGTTACAGCTTGATGAGACCTGTTGTATGTAGTATCTGTAGGCTATTGTGTTAAAAATGTTTAATTCTGTTGCTAAGTCATTTAATATAGAAGCAGCCAAGGATTTACCGTGCAAATTATATATGGGAATTCAAAGTGCTTAATCCCATAGAAGATGGGATTTTAGCAGTATTTTGCCATGATTTTTAATATTGAAACGATTGGCGAATATTTACAGGGACAACAACAGTAATATATATTCAACGGCAGTAATAAACGACATCTTTGGAGATTACTACAGCGTTTCAAAATGAGCTTGGTCAGTCATAGAACGGAAGGGATTCATTTTTAACTGATCTCTGATATTAGCGATTTGCGCCTTTTGCAGTTTGTCGGCGTCCTAATAGATGGCATAAGAATATACTATATGTTCATGTTTGCACCCCGCCATTTTGTGAAAGAGTTCAAAAGTGTTTACACATGGAGACAATCCAGAATCATTAATTCTAGATTGGGACGGGGGTAAAAGATTGCAACGCACCACTGGCAGGTGAGTGAAAGTTTCAGAATTTAATTTTTAAAATAGTTGCATTGATATTAATATGCCAGTGTATTTATGCATTGAAACTACTTTAGAGTTGAGTGACAATTTCATTTATGACGTTGTTCCTCCAAAATCCAGTGTAATGGCCACCAATCCCGTGTAGCCTACCGTAGTATCTATTATAACATAACTCGAGGTGTATCCATTGATTAGTTTAAGTAATGTATTCTACGGCAGTGAGGAACGACTTTCTCATTCCGTCTTGCCCCAAAATCCACTGTGCATATTAATGCTGTAGAACAACGTCAAACTAGTGTGATGAATGGACGCTTGAAGGAAAAGCGGCACAAGGGATGAGGTTAAATGTCTATGTCTATTAACGTGACTGTTTAATTTTAATTTGTTTTGAGGGAAAATAATCTATCATTCCATTGTCTTTCCTGTTAGGCCTATAGCATATGTATTAATTTTGATGCTCTCAAATTTTCCACCCATTTAGAGTATTCAGTTGGTATTCTGATAAATTGTTACATATAAAATGTGAACCCAAAGTCACATAACTACTTCCAAAAGAACATGCCAACATGACTTGTTCCCTCAAGAATCAGACAATCTAGCCCCTTCAGATATTTGTTTTTCTGAAAGGTTTCTTCCCTTGACTTCAACCCAAATTTTTGTATGCATCTTCCACATGCCTCGTCCATCTTGACCTGCTTCATTTGATCATATAATAACATGTGGTGAAGAGCACATACATACATATTTATTACATTCCATTTATCCATAAGATAGATGACAACAGGAAACAACATAAATTCATTGACAGAGTAAAAGGAGTGTGTGATTAAGTTTGTTATTAACGCTACATTAATTTACTCCTTTTTATTCACAAGATTTGAGAGACTTGATAGTATGCCATTGAAAATTTTGATCCCTGCATACTATGCACTCTTCTGGAAGCATGCGAGGTTGGCAACTGGTCTATGAAGCTGATTTTTATATCTTGTGTTGACACTGTTTACAGAAGAATTAGTTTGAAAAAGTTCTTGGTTATTTACAATAAAGTTCATTACAACAGTGAGTATGAAGATGGATGTATTCTGGATTCAAATGGTTAGAACAGGGTCCAGTGGCAGGTGCTTATGAACATGGTAACAAACTTTTGGATTCCAAATAAGTTGAAAAATACAAGCAGATGAGTGATCATTAGTTTCTCAAGGATGCTGCTCAGTGATATTATTTCCTTAAAATAATTCATGATGACTTGTTCCCACATCCTATTTCATGCTGTATAATGTGCGCATAGAAAGTGTTGTAAAAGGAAGAAACAAACATTACTGACTTACTGAATGTATGGTTTATACTATTTATTCAACAAAAGTACATCACATAAATAACTGCATAAACATATATATTTACACTGCACATTAATATAATTCAAAGATATGTTACCTTGCTGTAGGTTGTACAATACCATACTACTATGGCACACAGGAGAAAAATCTTTGGTAACAATAGTAGAGAAGACACTTGAGCTTTAAAAAAGGCACATTAAGACACATAAATGCATAATCTTACAGTTGTATTTCCTAGGCTGGTTTCTACTTCAAGTCCTTGTCAGTTGACATGTTGGAGTTAAACTCCCATACAGACTACACACATTTTCCAGAAACCACGGTTTCCTAACCTTTTCCTTTTGTATAAAATACCATCTACATTACTGATCACCCCCAAATCCTGGAGGAAATCTGACAGTTTTCTTTAATTAATGCTTCAAAAAGAAAAAAAAAATAGTCTACATACAATAACACATAATGAGTCATAGGACTGATGCTATATAATAATCTATTGTTCATGTGAGAGCAGTAACTACCAAAATATATGTATTCAAATCTCCCTTTAATTCAGCATCATTTAAGGAGTTCAATAAACAGACAGCACAGACTGTTAAACATGTTTCAGACACCACAAACGGTTTGGAAGTCTTCAGACTCTTTTAAAGAAAAGAATATGAGATAGACAAAATATAAAAGAAGGAAATTATAACACAATGTGCCAAATTCATTAACAAAAACACAATCCCATATGCTATGTGATAGGATACGTTTGAAAAAACTGTACTTTAGCATGAAGTATGACTTTCCTCATTAGCACATTTTATTACCTTGTCCTTCCTTTGACAACAAAAATAAATGGATAATGCAAGAGTACAGTATTATCCAGCTGCATAGCTCATTCTTCAAACATATTCAGATAATGCCTGGAACTGTAGTACTGAGCTGAACGTTACATTTTCATTTCGTATATTTCGGCTCCGACATTTGGTTCAGTTGCAAACACTAAGCTGTCCAAATCTTTTCCAAAAGCTGCTGGGTTTTCCTTGTAAAATTTTTCCTTCAGTGTTTTGATATAATCATCAACAGTATCTTTTGTTGTAAGAGCCACTATACACCCTCCCCACCTGAAACACAAGGCATATACAGTATATATTTTCTCAAACATACTGATAATATGAATATTGCTGTCCTTATATTATTAAGGCACAAAACCAAGCACATCACATGTAATTACAATTGATTCTCTTGTTTAAAACTTATGCCAGGCTATGGAGACATGTGGGCAAGTCATATTACAAGAAATTTGAGGTTTTCACATTGCACTGTAAAATGCATTTCATACTTAAGATATATGCAGTATGAGTCCCTTCTGGGATAGGACACCATGAGATGTTCAAGGTTTCTCAAAGAGTTAATTTAATGACAAAAGTACCAAAAACCCTCCGATTTATTTATGGTTCATATAATTATACTTTAATATCTTGCATTAAACAGTGTTAAGTGATAGGATGATTATTAAATAATTGGAAATGTTATTGAAGAAAGTGGTCATGATCTAATTTAAGGTACTATCACATCACTTGCCTGAATGAACTGAGGAAAACCATGAGAAACTATAGTTTTATCTACTTGACAAGATAATTATAACTCGCAACCTGGATGCCAGTGTTACAATTTTAAGACCTAACACAATTTGGATATCTCATAAGAATTGACAAGAATGTCATCAAAGATTACAGATAGTTGAAGGGTCTGAGTTACAGGTTGAATGCCTAATGGTCAGAATTAGTGAAGTACTCACCCAGCTCCTGTAAGTCGTGAACCTAGTGCTTTTCCTTTACCCAGTTCCACTAGTCTGTCCAAATTAGGATGGCTACATTCATAGAGCTTCTGCAGACTGTGGTGGCTTTGACACATCAGTTCTCCTAGCTTCATAAGTGCAACTGATCCTTCCATATCTTTTTGGCACACTTCTCGGAAAACCTTGACTCGATTTGCTTCTGCAAGCGTACAGAGCTATTAAGATCTGGTGCACCACATTCTGTACCACCTGCCTTAATAATGAGTAATCAGAATGAACTTGTGGGTTTCATATGATTCCCAGCAATTATTTCCTTAAAAGCTTCAACCAATTGATCTTTATAATGAAGATGTTATTTGAGGTATAAACTGAATATTTAAATATTATTTAGACAAGCTTCAGTGTCAAAGGGTTAATTCGAATTTCTCACTATATGAATTGTTTCAGACCAAAACAGAATTCTGACACAGTACTCGCTCTAAACATAATCTAGAATGCATAGTTTCCTATAACCAGAAGTAAATCTTCCCACTTTTCAGACTGACTCCACCCTAAAAGAAGAACCAACATAACTATATCTGACCAAATTTTAGATGAGATATTTTTATTTCTTGTTTCATTAAAAATAGGGGGTTTATGTTTTCTTGTAAATGAATAATAAAATCATAAAAATTATTAAACTATTTCTGGGAAAGAAGATGTTTGGCGACTCTAAAATATCCAAAAACTCTTATACCAACAGTAAGTTGAATTTATATGAAATATTTTAGAATTAATCTTTATCATATGGTAAAGTGGTATTTAAACTCCCATACCACTGAGCTGCCAATGAGACTAACTCGGAGGTATGCCAGTATGACATATGGCCAGCTGGGTCGCATGTACACACAGTGACATAGACGATAAACATTAATAACTGTATTACAATCAGATTAATACAGTGTGTATGTGATGAATGTTGTTTCAATTCAAATGAATGAAAAGGATAAATTGGCATTAAAATTAATTAAAATTTGTTCACAGTTATTTTATTAAAAAACATGGTAGCATTTCAATTATGAATATAAGAAAGCTGGATTTTTATTTTCATAAAATATTACTGTTGTGACATTGGAATAATGTAACTGAATCTATAAATATTAATTCTACGTAGCAGGCTCATAGCCGGTGTTCCACACAGTAGCCCTTCAATGGTACAAACACTCGACATAATAAATGTGATACATTACTGTACATACAAAAATGTCACATTCCACATATTTAAGTGGGATATAAATTAAATGGGAGCAAATATGTGTGACATCTCCACCTACAACGGAGGCATTACATTTTATGTTATTGTTTACATTGTTATTCACATTTTTATAGGCACCATTCAATAGCTATATACATGCTGCCATTAATAAAATCTTCTTGGGCAATCAGCCACATCAAATGGTTACACGAAGAGATGAGGAAGAGATGGTTCTCGAAATATTGGTCTCTTCATATAACCATTTGATGTGGCTGATTGCCCAAGAAGATTTTATTGAGTTTAGTTGACGCAAAAGCTTAAAATAATATACTGCCATTAGTTTAGTGGAACTAGTGTGTGATGAGAAAACAAAGCTGCCCATTACCTGAACCACTGCAAAACAGCTTACATATTTCAGAAGTTTAAGGTTAAAGTTAAACTGAAAAACTGTTAAATGTGGCATGCACAAACCCTGATACACATGCAGTGCTCTCTGATGTAGTTTGAACTGGTTGATGTCAGTTGTGTTGTTGCTGAGAGACAATTGGTCCAGGCACATCCCGCTCACCTCAAGCTCACGGCAGATCTAACACACAACAGAGACAGCAAAACATGGTAGAATTCAGTACGTAATGTATAAGATAACTGATTCAATATAGGTACATGGGGACACCTAGAATGTTCAACGATTCATAACTTTCAAAGGAAACTGTATACAAAATTTATTACAATATTTATGTGTATAATTCCCTCCCTTTTCATTCTAGGGATAAGGACATAGTACAGCTGGCCAAAGTTCCGTTCAGCAATGGGAGAAAAGGTAGCTTAGGAGCTGTGCCAATTGTGCTACTACACATCTTCAAAGAGAAGCAGTTACTATTCACTAACAACATGTCATGGTAAGTGGCAAAACTTGATTTTGGCCAATAATTTAGAAGTAGTCTTAATTAGATATTGAGAAGTTCAACTGTGGTTATTTTGTTTATATGTGTTCATTTATGCAAGTTTTGTTTGGAGGAAACAAGTTTAATTATACAGAAACAGGTCTGTCCATGTTGGTCAGGTTCACACTCTTATGAGTGAATCTATTTCAGAAATTCATTCTTACACTGCCCTAGCAACAAACGCTACTGCCAACAAGAATCCCTTATCTGGCATTATTCTCAGAAGTCACAAGACAACTAATTCTATACTGTATGGTTATGTAAACTTGTTTCTCCCTCACTTCATTTTGACACTCAAAATTTAGTGTTTATAAATTTCAGCCAATATGAATTGTTGCTGGTTTCAAATTTTAGTTTTGTGGGGATGTGATATTGCGGTCAGTGGTATCTTAGAGTAGTGAGTAGATTACCTTGGAATGGTCAAGATGGGCACTCAGTGTCAGGAGAATGGCTTGAAAGATCAAGTTTTCTGCCATATAATTAACAGGACTTTTGACAGTAATATCAGGATAATATATTGCAAATTTTCACATTCGAGATAAACCGTTCAGTCTGCCCGTGATAGTGTTCGTGTATTTATGAAGTAATGAATGAATTACCTTCCTACTGATACTGAACACTTTATGAAACTATAATTTCTATTTATACACTATATTGAGATTTGTACATATTGCATAGAACTCTCAATTATGTTATTTCAACAGCTGCTACATGGACATTCTGCTCTATTTTCTTTCTTGTTGTTAATATTTATCAAAATACAATAATTAATAATGTTGACCTACTTTAATAACACTTGGTCCTTTTTATCAGCACCATTAATTTTACCTTTCACTGTAATTTAAGACAAAGGGACATATAACAGACAAAGTCAAAAAATATCTCACCTCTTCCTTGGAGTATGGTTGTTCATGTAGGAACTCCTTCACCAGAGCAATCATCTCCCCCAAACTTGCTGTCATAGTTGACTGAAGATCAGCCAGGCTAGACACTTTTTCCCATGATAAACCACGCTTCTTTGCCATAATCTGTAGCAGTAACAGAATATATATGAAAACTGTACAAATTTACAATCTCCCAAAAAGATAATTACACACAAGGTTAACATTCTTTATTATAATGTGTAAATATCTTTTTGAGATACTCTGTAAATGTACTGAAACTATGGAGGACTATATCAAAAAATAAAATCAGTACTCTTGTAGAGAACTCAAAATGATACATAAAATAAGTTTCAGTCTTTTCTGCATCGTGTAGTGCAATTCCCATCTCAATATGACTATCCTAATTTTTTTAAAAATTGAAAAGAAAAGCCATTTCAGGAAACACATGAGAGGAACATTAAATTCTGGAAGCTACTATGTTTGAACCCATGAACATTTGAGAAACTTTAAAAACAACCGTCCAATCTATGTTATACTTTTAAATGATTAATCTAAGAATTCTTACATCATAAATACTTCTTGAGTCTTTGCTGTAGGAAGACTGACCAGTACATATAATAAAGACATGCATGCTATGGGCTGAATCACATCACCAGATAAATAAGTTTTAACATTTTGAAGTGATTCCTAATTCAGCATTTCAAGGTTTAAAGATTAGGTGATGATCATTATTTTACCTGTGATGCCAAGCGACATTCAGCTACTCGACAGTTGAAGTCGGATGTTTTGGCCTTGTTGAGAACAGCAAGAGAATGAGCAATAACAAACACAACACCATCTGGTAGCTTCACATCTTCTGATCGAAGCGGATTAAACTGTATGTGTTTTGCACATCCTGCAACAGAGTAAACTTCAGTTTGACTGAAGGGTTCTCTTAAAAAATAAACCATTTCATCCAAAACATGCGTATCTCATGTTTCCTTCTGGTGCAGAAGAAATATATCCAACTAATTTGCTACAATACACAAGTAACCAATCAAAAGGGGTTGGAGTGCATATGATGTCATTGTATGTTAGTTACTGAATGAAACCCAAGAAAGATGTTTTAGAATATTTCAAATTTTCATCAAGCATTAATCAGACAAATATCACACATCTGTAATTAAAACTATGAAACCAGCATCACTTCTAGTGACCTAACTAATCCTATACCCTCATTTTTGCATCATTCAAACATTGGGCTATACACATCTCTTAATTTCTGTAACATTAATTGAAAATTTCAGAAAAATTACTGACTGTAACTTACATGACCAAACAGTGCTTGATATTCAACTCCATTTACTTTACTCTACCAAAGAATTATAGCACAAATTAAAGTAATAAAAGTCTTCTCCTCTCCATGAAGTTGAACAATTGTTACAGACCTCTTGTTCCCAGAAAAGCAATTGCTTGATCCATTCCACCTCCTTCTGTACCAATGTATCGTTCTGACGTAGCACTGAGAGATGCAATTTCTAATTTAGTCATCTTAAGCTGAAACCATAAACATAAATAAATGGCATGAGACAACAGACTGATGATAAATTAGCTGTGACATTTTTATTGGAACTATTGTAACAAACCTAAGTGAATTTAATAAAATATATGATAAACATTTTAAGATATCTTAAAGTCATGGTAAAGTAACAAATTGACTTCAGGGATTACAATATCAAAATATATGAAGCCAGGAAGTGGCACAGAAATGGGGCACACCATAAGATAATCACAATGTATCTCATCATTTCAGATGTTATAGCACAATGAGAACTGCTGTATTACAATTATGTTTAAAGATTTCCTTATTAAATTAATAATCTACATACGTTATTGGCATGTGCAGCAGCAAGGGCAGCTGCACTGACAAGGGCACTAGAACTTGATAGTCCTGATTGCTGAGGAACATTGCCAGTCACAGCAACAAACATTCCCACAGAATCCTGAGGAAGCGCTTCCAAAACTCCTTTCAGTCCACACAGGAAATAGTTGTACCAGTGTGGTGACACTCCCTTCTTAACTTCAATGCTAATCCAAACAAAGTGAAACCATACTCTGATAGCAAGGACGTCACTTAATTCTAATCAAATTGCTTTATCCATGATAAAATTAAACATATAAATATTTTAACTGTTATATAATAATTTAGATGTCTCCAAACTATAAGGTATCAATTATAATTACTTATACTAACATACCTGAAGGAATGTATAGGACACTGAAAATCGCTGTGACTGGAATCCATGTTTGTGAGGTACAGCTGTGGTTCACTTATTCGTTTTACAGCCACCATTATGTCATATTGAATTGCCATTGGCAGAACAGAATAGCCACAATAATCAACATGCTCACCAATAAGGTTTACCCTGTAACAGGTGGGCAAATTACTTTGTATCTTCTCCTACAAACAAATGTCTTGAATGCACATTTCTTCAATGTAGCTCAGAAAAAATAACTGTAATGTAAATGCATTCATCTTGTATTTGTACCACATACAGAACCCTTGATATCCCTTGCAGGCATCATCTTCCAGAAAAGACTGTCTTATCAACACTGAAAAAGTGATGAGAACAGCAGGGCCCTCTTTAATAACTTTTGCCAATGCCTTTAGAAATTCTTCTGCTGCCTCGTAATCAGCACAAGCAGATTCACCAGAGGAAGAAAAGTTTTTAATGCTGTTTCTATGCATGAATCTTGCAAACTATCCAGCACTAGTCATAAATTCTGTAGTACTACCAGCCATTTTCCCCAAACATGTTTTAATATCATGAGGACTTCAAGCATGATAGAATGCATGTTGTAACAGGTCCAGACATTCATTGTTGTTTGAATGAATCATTATGATATTAAATTAAGGACATTAAAGTAATTTAATATCTTCCTACAGTATTAAATATAAGACAGGGAAGTGGTATCTTCACAGTAGTCAGGTGTGAACACTAACCTTCCAGGGACACGAACAAGGAACTCTGGTTCTTGTTTGTATTTCACCACAAAATGATCCATCAGCTCAGTTACTCTAACATTATGTAGTTTGCTTCCTTGTAGCTGTAGTAGCGGTGGATAATTATTTTTTAATCCACTGTTCGTTTCCTGAGCCATGACTCCCTGAAAGAGATCAGTAACTGTAAAAAGGAACTGCTCGGTTTTACTCGTTATCTCCCACTAATTTGTACTTACGCGGTGACGATGTTTCCTTCCTAACCTACAAAACACTTAATGACGTTTATAACCTGGCTACCGACAACACATAAAGTTGAATTTCTACGGCATTTACGGTGACGTAATTTAATAATCATGTCAGGATGATTACAGGCCAAAGATATCTATTTTGTTTACTTAAAATGTGTTCCTTATTGGCTTATCAGGTATATCGTGCCTCCAGTTCAATGACCATAGGCACAGAAGCCGGTGGGATAAAACTTCGATGTAATCATCATCAGCCGTCTTTTAAAATCCACACTACTCATGTAAACAACATACTATCAATTATAAATTGAACAAAACAAATAATACCTGGTGTTCAGAGATACCAACATGGAAAATGTAATGGCACTAAAATGTAGCATTACCAACACTAAACACTAGCTTATTTGTGTATGATGTATGATTTGAGGTTATGGTTTTCTAAGGACGCTGTCAGTAGTATTTATTAGATAGCGAATGTTGGAACGATTAATAGGTGGAAGGAACACAGAAAGAAACGGTTGTGGCACAATTCAAAGCACAATCCTGGTATTTGCCTTGTAGGACTTTCAAAAAACCCATCAGGATAGTTGGTCTTCCTTCAAAGATCTGAACGTCATGTCCCGAACACGAAACATGAGTGATACCAATCATCAGCGATGTTCGGTTACGATGACACAAGGGTATGAATTAGAACTAATAACAATGCCTTACTCCAATACCAGCCAGTAGCTGGTTGGGTATGATAATGTCCTGCTTGTTCAGGACTGTCGCACAGCCTGTGGGTGGGTGATGGAACAGTACTGAGAAATGGTGGAATGATGATTAACTAACCAACTTGACCAGAATGGCAGGTTTTTTTTAGGGAGGTGGAAATCCCTCTCGCCAAACTTGAACGCCTGGAAATTTATACTTTCACGAGAGATTTTAAATTGAGCAGAACATCAATTTTAGTAGCATCCCCATTCTGGATAAGGCCATATGACATGAGGACCACATGACAGAGGAGGCCATTGAGATTGGGCTTCACCCCAGAATCTTTGATACAGTCAAAGTCTTCACTCTCAGTTGATCCTCATATCTGGTGACTGACATTCTCAAACAATGTAGAGATTCACCAGTCCAGAAGCAAGGCCAATCTAAGCAAGCTTTGACTGCCTACTAACTTTTAACATAGGTTTCTGGGCAGGTATATATGTGGGACAGTCTGGGGAGACATCCCTTGTGGTGGGCACAGAGATGGTCCCTTAAACATCAGTGATTTTTAGCTGACTGACATAACTGATAGCCCAAGAAGACTTTACTATCATCACAATCATCATTATTAATAAAGGATTATATTTCATTTGAGGTACAGGAATAAGGTGCTTGATTTATTCTAACACAGATTCTTAACTCATTCCAACCCCATTTAATTCGGCTATGCATTTTATATTAAAAAGTACAACACCAATTACAGGTTTTAGGGGTAGTGCAAAAGTGTCATGATTGCATTAATACAATAGTCATTAATGCTTATCGTTGAAACTTAGAAGGAATCTCTTATGTAACAAAAACATACATTTTTATATCCACTACTAGAAGTAACACAGAATAGTAACCATCTTATATTTGATTTATATAATTATCTTTCAAATTCGATTTGTCTCAATAGCACGAAAGTCAAAAATTGCAAAGCCTTCAGTAGAAAAAACATACAGTAACAATTATTACCACAAATAGTGTAGACCTCGTGTATAACATTCAAATACATGTGTTCATTTCTTCAATATAACTTAGAGCAAATAAGAATTATCAACAATGATTATTATAGTACAGTAACATTTAACCAAATTATCAAGATTCAGATAAAAGTCTTATGTGCAAAATAAAACACACAAAAAATAACATTTCTGTTATAACAACATTATAGTAAGAATGTTTATTAAAGAACATCTCACATCCCATCTACTAGAACCTGAACCATAAAGAGATAAGATATCATTTTTGTATGTTTTTTTTGTTTTGTTTTTTCTGTTTTGTATGTTATATTTCTTTGTAGAGATAAGCTGAGGCAGTGAAAGGTTGGTGGCTTGGCTACTCAAGGCAGTAGCCATACTTACAAGGGGCCTTCTTTCACTCCACCCCTTTGCTTGTTTACTGTTTTCTGTCCAACAGCAAAGCAAGCCAGTGGGTTAACCACTGCAAACTAAATAATGTACTTGCACTTCCTTTGGCATTTACAATATGGTAAGTGCTGGAAACTGAACAGCATTCCAAATCATTTCACTTATCATTTCATCACTAACCATAAAGTAAGCATATCTCTTTATAAACAGAAAAATATGGACTCACCAAAAACTCAGAAATACACCTGTACAACTGCTTTCTCTTAAATATTTAAAGACCAATGCAAATGAAAATGAAATCTGTCAAAATTTACATTAATATTTAATACATTATATTAGTGAACATTATATTGCAAAATTTCTGAAAGCATTTCAATAAAATGTAATGTATTTTTTTGGAATATAGTATAATTACTGCAGGTGTATTTTTTTTTCCTTTCAGGTAGTTTTAATGGCTACCTACATATATGCTTATACCAAACTGTCCAACAGTACTTCTGCTGCAGTCTATAAGTACAGGAAATAAAGTTTTCTTTCACTTTGTACAATGATAACGTAACACTCTAGTAACACAGGTTTATATCACTGGCAGTATAATCTTTCAGAATTATTAAAATTCTTATAAGTTAATTACATATATAAGAAATTATTAAATCCATATAGACATCAGTTTTGAACATAACTTTTCCATATAAAATATCTGAAGAAAATATAACAAATAATTCTTTAACAACCAAATAGTGAAGAGAGTTGTGCCAAAGTTTTAACTGGAATGTCCCACAGCATTATTTTTTACGTATGTTGAACATCTTTAATAGGTTCTAAGCTCAGTTGCCACTGAGTTGCCCATTTCATAGAGTTAAGGCTAAAGTAAACATAATTACTTCATAATATAGATACATTTTAAAGTACAGTATTTGTCTCAACTTGTGTATTACAAAAAGATATTTGATAATGGTGCATACTTGCAAATTTGGATGTTTTTGTTCTGAAGATATATGATTGTTCTGGATAGTTTGCAAAATATGAGCATTGTCTAGTTTTAATGGATGATACAACAGATTTTTATGCCATCAACAGAAAAGTCTGTCAAATTGCGTAGATAATTTTTCAGCCAGCCTGTAAAGGAGTTGCTGCTAGGAAATGTTGTAATGTTACTAAAAGAAATAACATGATTTCTACATTTATATCTAAAATTCACTACTTTTTCTGGAATAGTCCATTCTTTAGTGCAAAAGCACCTGTTATTTATGAGAGAAGGGAGTATATCTTACTATAAGCTGAAACTTAAAGTTTTTGTGCCACTTGCTTGGTCTTTAATGCTTCGGATGGTTATCTTATTTTAATGTGCAGCCATGACAAATATTATTGACTCATTTTAATGTTGTTGGTGAATTTCTGTTGTTTTTCATGTTGCTTTCATTAATTAGTCCATTCACTAAGGATCATTCTTGCATGCGCGCACTCACACACACACACCCACACACACAAACACATGATATTAACATTGCTTAGAGTGTTCCTGTAGTTAGTAAGAAGTACATTTTATAATTGTTTATATTATAACCCAGTATGATAGAATGGTTTTGTACTTAGAGGATATACCAAGACCAAAGGTTGAAGGAGCATCTACACAATTTCTCTCATATATTTTGTATTTCTTTCCCATCCCTTCTTGCAGTATTCATATTATTATCATTCATCCATTCTACTCCTAGTGCCTCCGTCTGCATGAAGTATAGTTACTATTGTTATTACTAATACTTTGTAGGAAGTAGCAGTACGGCTGACATAGGCTATCTTCTTTGAACACATTATGTGATGAGAATTATATGATTTGTTCTGCTTAGCACTGCAGAACTAAGCAAACGGCAGCAATGTAAGTAGCAGAAATAATGTTATGACATGATGTTGTCTTGTCTCTGCATGCTGCCTTGAATCTGTGTCCTCCAAAAAGTGTCTTGATATGATTGGTCAAACATCAAGCTTACCATGATAACAAAAAGATAGTTTTATTTTTATATATACTTTTTATATTATTCCTTTAACTTTCCCATCCCAACCCCCCACTAACATTTCCCAAGACCTCCATATTTATAAATATAATAATTAGTTTATAACATCTCTATTTTTAATAAATATTTACAACTACACAACATCGAATATACATTATAATATATTTATTAAGGAGGAATTTTATATTTACTTTAAGATGTCAAGATGCCAGATGCCTGAAATGCACAATATTTTGCTATCTTACTTATTTATATATTATGATATGTTTCCATGCACAAAGTACGTGAGCAACACGTGTCTGCAAAGAACACGGTAAATTAATAAATTAATGTTTAAGAACTAACCATTGTCTCACATTGTGGGAGGTATATTATTACATTATCTTGCCAGGATCATAGACATAGGCCTATTGTATATAGATGTAAAGATAATGATAAAAATAGATTGTGAGGGGTGCGAGTGGAATGGAGCTACAACTAGCTCTATTGCGACCTTCACATCTTCTTCAGCACATTATTTTTTAACAACCATTGAGCAAGAAAAGGGGAGAGAGAGACAGAGACAGAGAGAGCACTACCATGTTGTCACTGTCATGTAGATAAAGATGTGCACTGTCCCCCCACTGATCTGTCTGTCCATCTGTCTCAACTGTCATATTTCTTCTGGGCTGGGTCAGACATCCTGTTAACTTTGCCAAAAAGAAACAAACCTTGAGTGGAGCTCCCAATCTGAATGAATATCCAATGATATACCCCATCTTTTCATCTCTATGAAATGTAGGTGACGTCAGTATAGAAAATATTTTACTTCATTCAGATTTTGTCCAAATAGAAGCAAAGCTTCTGCACTCCTGTATTCAAATGAAGCATGAAGTGGAATTATAGCAGAAACTTCAAAGAACACACTGGCCACCCAATGCCTTTGCAGAGTCTTCAAGTCCCCTTAATGTGCTTGGGAGGAAATCACAAGGTTGTATGCAGTAAGTGTTGCAGCGGCAGAATGGGGATGTATCCAGAAGGTAAACTAGTGAACATCAGCTTCTACAGTCCTGTTGGCATAAATTAAAATAAAATAATTAGCTCGTCAGTTTTAAAAAGAAGTCTGAACATGACTGGACCTCACATATAGGAATGTATTCTACTCAGCTTTTTATTTCATACGAAAAAAATGGTTGGAGGTGCTTTGAGGTTATGTGCAACAATTTTACCCATTAAAACTCTGTTATAAAGAACACAGATATAACGAGTTCTTGGCATTTGCGAGCAAATTAAATTACGGCTTAACATTCCAGTTTCCTAAATTTATATACATGAATCTTCTTGTATGTAACGAACATACTTCACGAATATAACGAGTAAAATTGGTTTCTCCGATTTTTTAACTTTATGAAAACTTTTGTGTTTACGTTTTTTAACGGTGCAGCGCCTGTACCGTTAGGGTTGGGTTTTGTTTTGTTGTGGCTAGCCTGCTGTAAATAGCTTTGTTGGTAACCCATAATCAGCAAAGATTTTACCCTTCAATGACCAACATGTATGTAAACAAGAGAAAGTGTTTGTCAGTGCGTGAAGAAATTGAAATTATTTAGACACATCATAGTAAAATCGATGAAACAGGTTTCGAACCTGAATTACGTTTAAAATAAACAAGGTATTAATTACTAGATGTACACATCATCATTTTAAAATTATTTTTATGCTTTTTTAATGTTCTGTCACTTTTATCAATATTTTCCAGATAAAAATTTAAAATAATAAATTTGATCATAATAGTTATTTATTTAATATCCTAAATTCATACATCATTTGTTGTAATTTGATATGTGCATTAGTATTGTTGAGACTTGAAGGGGAGAGATTGTACTTCATGCTCTGGCCACATATACCCCCAGAAAAATAGTTCAGCTTGGTGGACCACAGAACTATTATGCACATGGTGATAAATATCAGAAGGCTTCTAATTTGGAGGGGACACTCACCTCTCACTGTAGATCCTCCTCACACTTAGGAATGTCAAAGATCTCTGCAAAGAGCGGAGGTAGCCTCAGCTTGGCCCAGTTGAGGCGGAACCAGTCCAAGTGGGCTGTGTGCTTGGCACCCAGGTTTCTCAGCTCCGGCAACTTGACCAGCAGGTTGGGCAACATCTGGGGCTCACTTGCATGATTGCGACTCACCTGGCCAAATCACAGTGTAAATAGGAGGCTAAAATGGCTACCATGAGGGTTGTGTTGAAATTATAGGGAAACCTTTCAGAAGATAGGAACATAGAAGACAAAAAAGGATATGGCAGGATATTAAATTATTGGCTGTATCCTCAATGTTTCACATCATCTCCATGTTTGTAAGTGTTGACTTGCAGACAATATTTCATGCATCATTTGTAGCTATCTTTATGATTGCCATGCCAGATTTCACAGTTTATTAAGTACTGCTGACGTAGAAGATTTCCCCATGACCACCATTGTTAATTTTATTGTTTGTACATTCTCTAAAATTTGCCTTAACCAAAGTTGCATATCTTTCAGTTATTCATTAGTAGACATGATTTTATGAATTGGGATAGAAATTGTTGGTGGGATGATGTGAACATGTTAATGAACCTTCAGATTCCTTAAAATGTTGGGAAATTCTTGAGTGCCTTGGTGAGTGTCAATGTATTAATATGAGCTGTTCTGCATTTTCATCTCTTATTCGTTCTGGACTGAAGAAGTGTTCAGCGTACATAAACTGTTTGCGTATTTTTAAGAACTTCCATCACTAAATCCATTTAATTAAGCCTGTTGATACTGACCTGCACTTTAAGGGCGTCGATGAGCCGATCCTGATGGTGCTCAATAGTCTTGAGGTCCGTAACCCCCGGACGGTCCGCGGTCAGGAGGACGATAGCAGAGAAGAGGCCCAACTCCGTGTCATTTAGTGCAAGTGCGTTTAGCGTAGATGCAAAGTGAAACAGTGATGACACAAACTCTGGCTGCAAGTTGAGAAATAAGGCAGTAAAAGCAAGTGCTCATGTTCATGTAGTGTTCAAAATGGGACATCATATTGGCATATTTAATGAACTTACCATACATTTTTTAATGGTGCAAGGTGGCCTTCAAGTTTTTATAAAAGAATTTGGGAAAATCTGCTTGACCTTGTTATTTTGGCATCTGTTTGTTCACATCAAATAACTAGGCACTGATTGGCCAGAATTAATGGAATTTTGTGTTGTATATCTATAGTGACTGGCTATGGACTGGACGACTGGGGTTCGATCCCCGACGGGGGCAGAGGATTTCTCCTCTAGCCTCTGCATCCAGACCAGCTCTGGGGCCCACCCAGCCTCCTGTCAAATGGGTACCAGTGTCCTTTCCTGAGGTGTAAACTTATTGCTGTAGGATATTATTAAACGTGGTTAGTGTTTGGAGGCAGATAAAAAAAGCGTATTTAATTTTTAATCTTTATCTCCAATTGAACAGAGTCCATGTGTGACGCACTGTGAAACCTCTGTCTGTTCTATTCAGGGATTTATGTGTACATGTCAATAAAACTTGTCTGTAATGTGGTGACGTACATCATACATGAGGTCCATCTGCTGGCGGGTGATGTAGGTGCCATCGGCGAAGGTGAGTGAGGAATCTGATGTAAGTCGTGCCACATGACCCAGCCAGATTTCGAAGAAGCCAACTTTGATGAGGATCAGCTGGTCGTCCTGACTCAGGTCACAGAAACCTACAAGAAGAAGGAGAACCCGTACCCTTCTCTACATGCCCATTTCCTGCAATCATTCCTCTCTGCCCTTCATTTTATAGGATTTCAAGAAAAGACTAGCAAGTGATGGCTTTTCATGCCAAGAGAAAACAAAAGTTATTCATCTGCATGTTCTTCAGTTTCTAAAAACATTTACATTTATTCTACTGAGCTTTATGTCGCTGTATGCCTTGAATGCTGTTGCTCGTCCATTTAATTACTCTCTCCAATGAAAGTAAAGTTTGTTGTTCCTCTGGCTTGCTCTTTCTACTGTGTAGTTTGATGGCATTGCTTCTGTATTTGTCTCAATATGAGCTTGCTACAATTATCAATGACACAGCCTGTATGATGATTTGGTTTTCACATCAGTGGAGACATGAATTTTGGTCTTGCAGGTTGTTACCACTCTTTTCAAGGAACTTTGCTGACCACCTACAATACTACAAGACATCGCAACCCACGCATATAACGTGTAATTTAGTACTAAGAGTTACTTTGTTTGTATTAAATATTATAAGAGTATAATGAAATCTGTGCAGTGTCAAGCCTCATGATTACCAGAAGAATTATCTGACAAATGTATTTTGTATCTCAGGAGCTAACCTGGCACTCTTTTGGCAAACTCGACCACCCTCTGGACGCTCGGAGTGACATGTGTTGCAAACTGCTGCCACAACCATACCCGCTGTTGCTCCAGTGACTCTGCCGTGGAGGATGCTACTTCTGGACCCTCGGGACTTGAGCCCTCTGCTATCGTCGGCTGGAAGGTCAACAGAATTCTTCACAGCACTAGGTAGGATGTGTTACCTCAGAACTCTCTTATCAGAAATCCTCTGGATTGTCATAGTTGATATATTGGTACACTGACTCTTTATTTTGTGAACAGAATCCTTTTCTTCAAAGCCTTTCTGAATATAATAATTCGTTAAACAATTTTATCAAAATATAAAAATAATTGTTATAGATATTGTGACATCAGTTGGTACAGATGCAATTAATGACAAATGTGGCTGTGTGTTTAGTAGGCCATGCACATTGAACAGTATGGAACGAACAGTGGTAGACCAAATAATTTCACGCTGTGTAGAAAGAGGATATACAAAATAAGCTGTGACATTCAACATTAACAAGTGATAGTTTGTGAGATTTCAGACTCTCGCAGCTGTGAGTACGAAGATGGCTGTCTTCTGGATTCTTGCGCGGTGTAGTCTTGCAGAAGATCTCCGACGTTTCGGAGGCGATTGCTGCCTCTATCATCAGGGCGATGATTTCTGTAACTCTTCTACCAGTTTACAATGCGCATAATCATAGGAGACAGCCATCTTCATGCTCGTCGCCGCGAGAAATTCATAAATCTCACAAAACTTTTGCGTAATAAAATTAATGAACATCGTTGTGGATACTGACTGGCCTCGCCTGGAGCTGTTTTCGTACGAGACCGCGGGTCTGCTCCTCGGTGTAGCCGCAGTTGGCGTGGAAGGCCTGTGATACCGTCAGAATTACGTCGTACACCGCCAGGTTCTTGGTCTCTGCGTCTGGTTGCTCTGTATCCGAAGTGGACACTCGTGTCGCAGGGGCAGCTGATTCTTCTCCATTCCGCTCCCTGGACCTCTTGGGGACTCGCCCGTAGCGCACAGCTGTCACAGAGGGTTCACATCTCAAAGGGGTCCAGTTCACACTGGCACGGTGACAAACATGCTATTGAATTTGTAGGACAATAATATCGTAGTCGACATCATAAGCGAATGTTAGGTGCTTGGTCGGTTGGTGATCATTTGCTGTTAAGAGAATTTGGGCTTTGCGAGAAGACAAAGCACGTTCGTCGATAAAGTCGGACACGATTGTCGCATCCTGGCAGGGATCATAAATGTACTGCTTTTTGTAAAAATTCCTAGGTAACATAACAATGAAGTTACACTTTTTCGTAACATTTTTGCCGAATGACACCGACCCTAAAATATAGACGTATTTACGTCAAAAACTTATCATCTCTCAGTGAACGACTTTGTGTTACGATGACTCTCCGGGTATCCTGTTCGAATCGCCATCGGATTCAAGACAATCCATACTGACATTTCGTACGATGGTTTTACTCAGCTCCGCCAAATAAAATCTAAGATGGCGTATAAATTAGGCCAGTTCTTTTTTTTTTCTCTCCAAGTCGTTTCCAGTTGATCATTAACTCATCAAAAAGTCGATTATGAGAATCGATCAATAAATCACTCTCGCAACCTATTCGCTCCCAACCCTCAGAGTATCAACATTTTATAACAGGAATCTGAAACTGACTTCTGTTCTGCTGGATTGTGAACACGATTCATTGGTTCTTAGAGCTGTCGTTGAAATGCTAACAAAAATAAACCTAAAATTCCAGGCTTCTGTCTCCGGTAGCTACCGGAGGCAGAAGCCTATAGGTTAGGTCACGCCATCACTAACACACGTGTCTGTCCGCCCGACCATTGCGTGATTCGCCAAGGCCTGCTATAAACATGGAATCCGTGAAAGTATAAATATTTACTGATGCTTTTTTTTGTCCAATTGTGATTAAGTACAGAGTGTCAGTGGATTAGCGGACAATTTGAAAGGCGTGTAATTATTTGTTCATAACGCATACTTGAAACTTATGCACTACAAAACAGTCACACAACATGAAAGTTTTTCCATGTGTGTTCATGGAAGTGCACACGTAATTTTTTCGTGTGTGTTATAAATAAGTAATTACAAGTCCTTCAAATCTTTCGTTAATTTTTTGGTATTGCACATGCTACAATCATCAAGTAGTATGTTGGACAATTTGAAAATGTATTTTGCTGTAAGGTTTACGTGAATTGTCTATTAAGAAGACTCATCTTGTCTTTTCCTTGTAATTTATTCTTTTAAATCTCGACGTATTAAAAAAAGGAGACGTAGAAATTACAGACATTTTGATAATGTTGACATTTCATTTGTACTCCGTGTATGGTGGACAGTCGAGCGACCATATTTAATTGAAACTTGTTGTATGGTTCAAGAGATAGCGCATTAAGAAAAACGTGGCCTCCGCATTGTACGTTGACTTTAAACGCTTCATGGAAAGAGCAGATTCTTATTTTGTCTTCAGGCATCCACAGATTCCTTTCGGCTGCTGTTTCATCAAAATATCACAGTAAAAACTGAAGATGGCTGTCTTCTGGGTTGTAGCACCGTTTAGTCTGACAGAAATTTTCCGACGTTTGAGAGGTGCTTGCTGCCTCAATCATCAGGGTGGTCTTATTGCAAGTGGCTCTGAAACGTCGGTAAACTACCCAGAGTAAACTACGCTATATCTCAGCAGACAGTCATCTTCAGACTCGAAGCCGTGAGAACCTCAAATATTACATAGTAAAATTTATTTCCACTTATAGAATGTGTGTACTAGATCAGTGGTATTCAACCTGGGGTACGCGTACCCCCGGGGGTACGCGAAGACATCTTAGGGGGTACGTGAAATTTAAAAAAAAAAAAATTTATGATAAACACTGAATAATCAGTGATGTAATTTATTTAATTTATTTTAGATGTAGATTATATACTATGTATAACTTGAATTATACACCAACAACTTTGGGAGGTACAAAGTTGAAGAGAAATTATATCTGTTTTTTTTTTTATTATTAGTGTTCTGTCTGACGACAGGTCCATATGAACGGGATCCTTCATCCTTTTCTCGGACTGGGCCCTGTTCTACACCAACAACTTTGGGAGGTACAAAGTTGAAGAGAAATTATATCTGGGGGTACGTGAACAAAAAAGGTTGAATACCACTGACCTAGATCATGGGTAGAGTGACACTAGCATCCCATAAAGTGTTATTCATGTAAAGAACGCCTAAGAAAAACAGACCATAGCATTATGCTTTATTTTCGCATTGGTAGGTTAGAATCAGAATTTTTTTTAAATTGCCTTGTTAATTACGGAACGCTAAAGAGCTTTTCATGTCTTCTGTAAGCGTTGATGATACAAATACGGTATCTTATGTCGAAATTATTTTAGATGCTTAAAATCAATTTTTAATTAATACTCACAGTCGCGAGACATTCCAACGGCGAGGCATTTCTTGAAGCGGCAATACTGACACCTGTTTCTGTTCAGCCGGATCACAAGACACTTCCCGTCCCGCAAACACCGATACTCGATCTGCTTCTGGATGCTCCGTCGAAAGAAACCCTTGAACAGAACGCATTCGGCACTGTCACGTGGCGCTTTTAACAAAAATTATTAGAGTCCACTGAGATGTGATGTTCTCACGCCAGTGAAAATGAAATTATTGGCCTTCTGGGTTGAAATGCCTTGTGGACCTCTGGGTAAGTGACAATGTTTCGGAGAAACGTAATGTCTTTATCTTCAGGGCTGAAGGAGAAGACATTTCGTGTCTCGAAACGTTGGTATCTGCCTTCAGGGAGAGACGATAAAAATTTGAACGTGTTTCCTGGGACTTAGGCTCGTCCAATTCAAAGTACGGCTTTTGCGAACATGGAATGAAACTTCAGATAATTTATTTTACATCTTAGCGAGTATTAACTTCTCATGTACTATGCCCCATGGATTTAATCTCTATAACGAGGTGCATAAAATGAACCCATGCCGGGATCTGTCCACACACAATATATCCTATCGCCAAAGTTTCTGTAACGTTTCCATAAAATCCGATTATCTGTTGTAGTACGTCGCCAGAATTTGTTAGCCAATTTAATTTTGTTTCTTATGGGTCCAATATGGCAAAGATCAAGTCGAATCTTATCGGTTTTCTCGGAAAACGGCTTATTGTACAGGAATGAGGTCACAATATGAAATACAGAACAATATCTACTACATGAGAATTGATATTCGCGCGGCGACGGATATAAAAATGGCCGCCTTCTGCGATATAGTACCCTGATGATGGATCAGTCACTATCTACCAGACTACGCGGCGTTACATCTCAGAAGACGGTGATCTTCAGGGTCTACGACATTGATTTGAACATCCTTCCACGAACACGGAGGCATTTTCATCTGCAATGAAGAACGTCATCTTTCTGCATCAACAGGGACCACCGCGTGTTGCAGTGAAGTAGCGCGTTGACTTATGCACTTGGTGCAGATTCGCATGAGCGGACCCTCCCCGCACGCTCGTCGCATGCAGATCGGTTTCGTGCGGTTGAGGACGGAAGTGAATTTGCTCTAACAAGTGTGAATTCAGTCTCCCTCCTTCGAGATCCCGTTATAAACTGAGTTATTCTATCTCTCACTGCAATTCCATCCCCACCTCCTTGCGTGCATCCCAGCGGGACAGCACGCATCGCTCCTCATGGTAGTGCAACTAATCAGTGTTCCACGTCAGCGAGACTGCTGCAGACGAGTAAAGCGTGTCTTTTGTAGGGGCACTCTTGATACAATGAGCCAAGTGCCATTCACAATTGCCATATAATGAATCAACTAATCGCCCTGATGATGGAGGCAGCGAACACATTTGAAACGTATGTAAACTTCTACCGGACTACACGGCGCAATAATGCGGAAGACAGCCATCTTCATACTCGGTCGCTACAAGAATGTCACAGAGGAACTTGCGATGAGCTAGGCATGTAGCTCGGATGAGCTAAGAAATGCATAAAATTTTTTTGGGATGAACAGATGGAGGGCGACATGAACGTACATCCTTAACGGAGTGGGTTGGAGATGGACCTTACATACTAGAACAGTAAAAGTTAGTTTCAGAACTGAAGATGGCAGATGTTCCTCCGAAACGCTGGTTACAACCGAGAAGACCCCGATCTCGAGACGCTTGCTGTCACGTACCTTGCATCCTTCGCAGGACGTGACGCCGTAGTGGTATCCTGACGCCTTGTCGCCGCACACTTTGCATGGGACAAAGGACTTGGTCGGCGTCGAGCTGTTGGAGTCAGCCGCTGCGTAGTGTTGCTCTGTAAATGCACAGAAAAAAAAGCCTTCGTGAGCGATCTGAAACTGTTCACGAGACAATGCGATTTGTCCTTAAGCACGACACGAGATTCATAATTCTGCGTGAACCACATGCACTTCGTTGTTATAGACACTTCTAGCATAATTCTGCTGCACGTAAGACAGTGTATCTGGAAAAGCGCCTGGAAATTATTTAATAGCATTCGCCCATATTCTGAAATAATCTGCGTTTCTTCGGAAGAAATTAAGATGCCTGAACATTCGG